TTTTATGCTTGTACTTGACAAAATCTGTCTAAAAAGAATTGCAAAATATAAATCATTTATGATTTTTAGCGAAGCAATCTATTTTTACGACTATATTTTTTAATTATTTCTTCTGCAGAATTAAGCTTGACCTACGTCTTCAATAAAGAAAAGAAATTTGCCCTTTGATGATTAATTTGTGGTGATCACTTACATGTGCCACACTTCCGCTTTCTTTAATGTCATTGGTTCAGAAATATATGATACTTAGTATATGACAATTTTGCCATCGCAAATTATTTGAACTTTTCTCTAAAATCACGGATTGGTCCATTTCCTGGCCAATCGCGTATTTTAGTATCTTTCTAATATATTTTGGCGCCAAGCTCACTTGACCTATGCATACCTATATAAACTCTCTCACTCTTAGCCAACAGCAGTAGCAGTTCAATTCTCTGAATATACGGCACGGCGCTATATTATTTATAACATTTTAATTCTTAGTTATTACTCATTCAAGTAATCTTATTAACTTCGATTAATATCACTTGTGCACATTACATCTTTTCACACTCACAGACTGTGGAATTATTCTTCATTGAGCTAAGAACATTAATTGAACGTTATAATTAATTAACATTTAATATTGTAACTCAACATTATTTAACTGCATTCACCCATTTTATTACAGACAAAAGGGAAGTAACTTTTTCATGCTTATTGTTGATGTTTGTATATTGTTCTTATAATACAAATACTTATTTAATGTTCATGGAGCTTGACTCATTTCTCTCATATATTCTGTGCATATTTCATGTGGAGTGTTGTTTATAAGAACACAGCTTTCCTTCTTGATTGCTATTACATTTCACGGTGACTCTAGCCAACATATCTTACAACACCACTACAAATTCATAGCTGAAATTACATAATAGCAACTGAAAGAAGATCTACTCTTTCAGCAAAATTGTGTACCTGACAACTTTACTCTCACTGTTTCAATACAGAAAAACAGACCAACGTTTAACTTTGATGGGAAGCATGTGAGAAGTACGAAATAATAACATATTTTACCCACTTCATTCAAATCGAAGAGCTGAGGAAAAAGACGGAAAAAATTCGCGAGCCTGTGTGAATTTTTTTGGAACCAATGAAAATCTTGTTTTCACAAGAATTAGCTGTGGAACCTAGATAAAGAAGGAAAAGAAAATAGCGATTCTATGCGAAATCCTTTTTGATATAAAATAAGGAAAATAATTAATTCAACAAGAGAAGAGGTCGGGAGTCATGTGAAAAGTTTCATTTCTGTTCACGCGTCCAGCATTCAGATTTTTGCCAGTGTCAAATTATTCGCTAATTATATTATCGGCCTTAGCAAAGCACATGACACTTCAAGGAAATTTACTTAAAAAATTCAAGAAAGCTAAGTATTTCAAACTATCTTTCTTCGTTTACTTTTGAATGTATGCAGCCATATGACAATTCTGTGAACAACGAACTCCGTTACTATTGTTTTAAACCCTTTTTAATATTATTTTATATCAGATGATTTAATGTATTGTGTGAGCATTCTATCTTCATGACAATTCATTGATATTACTGACTGTAAAATTTCTGATTTATTTTCCTGAAACAAGATACGGAAACAACATCAAGCGTGAAATTCATAAATAAATTCTTTGTCTTGTGTAGTTAAAATTATCCGTGTCATTCCTCGTCATTATTTGCTTCGATTAATCTACTTAGCGTGGGTAAACCAACTGTTCATTTTAACCCGGAAGTTTCACAAAACCAGAGGCATATTCAATGCCATTTGACGACTGTCCATACGGGGGTCTCGACGATTTCTTTTTTCGTCGAGTAATTCGAGGTGGAGACAACTATGGTTTCCTTCACAACAGTTTTTGCAAGAGCTTTTCCTAATATATTTGCTTTAAATTTTTTCTGAACAAATTGAATTTGTTAGGGTAAAATTTGCCGTTTCCATACAGGGCATATTTGAACTAACCGTCATCGATAATGCTGGTTGACATTTATAAGATCTTTTTCTAAAAAAAAAAAAAATTACCGGAAGTTCAACTGATCAACTCTACAAACTGATGTCATTCTTTTCAATACCTTTGGCAAATAATCAGCTTTATTCCATCATTATGTCTCTCCTAGTTCTATGTTCAAACGATCTTTCTTTTTGGTGCTGTTAGAAGAGTTCAAGTGATGTCGTTTTTGTTATTTGGTATAGCTATTTGTGATTTTGCAACACCCATCTATAGGGTGTGATAGAGATTCGTTTTCTTTTTTTTTATCAGCAAATGACTTTGTGTTGTGCATCGCTATATTTAAATATTCTAGACGAGGGCTCTCTCAAACACCTTTTTTGGCCCGCGGGAAACCATTTTCATGACCAACATTTTTCTCAAATTTCAATAAATTTAATAAATTTGCCCCTCGACATTTCCATGCTTTTGTAGTAGCAGTTTTGAGTTTGAATGGACTCATTTCAAAAGCTAATTAAATTACTAAGATACGCGAACATTTAGTTGGGAACAAAGAAGAGTGATGAAATTTTATGTGATATCAATCCTCTAATATAGCAGTGACTGCTGGAAGGTTTCCTCACAGATGAAGGAAAGAATTGAGGCAGAAGTCTTAGATTTATTCTTTAAATAATCTGCAGAAATCGTAGAAAATATTTCAATCGAATAATAAAAACTAAAATAAAAGACGGCAAATTTATAAGAATAAACTGAAATAGAGGAAAAAGTATTGTCAAAAAGGAATAATCAGGACAACAGTAGGTAGTATTGACATTGCATTTAAATTTTTGAAGATCAAAGTTAGCTGAAGTCAGAATGGGGTACCACATGTGAAAAGTGTGAGAAAAAAAACTGTTTGGATAGAATTTATGGTTACATCTAGCCAGCTCAACTGTAAATTGCCGAGATCATGATACCAATCTAGTACTGCACTTAAATTTAAAAAGTCTAGCAACCATAACTGATGTGGGGCCAAAGTTGGGACCACAGAAGTAAAACACGGAACACGGATTAGATGTAAGAAAGATATATTAACAACAGGTTACAGAGATAGTGTAAGCGGAGCTTACTATATGTTAGTGTCCAATACTGGTAGTCGTACGAGACTCTCACTGTCTCTCTGTGTCACTTTCTGTCACTCTCTATAGAGTGCTACTTAATATAGGCCTGGAAGAGTCTATTGTGTAGGTAGTTTCCGGTCTCACAATAATAACAAAGAGTTATATTTACTTGTAAATATTTACAGAAGATGTGGCACAAGGCCAACATGGGGAATGGGGAAAAGGACGGTCTTGTTCTGTCTTAAATTTAAACTTAGCCAGCCACAATTACTGACCCAAACATACAACAATATTCCGAGTACCAAAACAATGTATTCTTATTTACCTTTCTTACTACATCCACCATAATACATTATTGCCTCTATGAAAATCCTAACTAGACCCCATATGTACAATATAATTGTCTGTGGGGGAGAGGAACAAAAAAACAATTTTAAAAAAATAACAAAGAGCTCATCCAAACAATTACCATGAAAGTATTTATAGCAAAGGCACAGGGAGGCAACCTTACGGTGGCGGGAAAAATAATCCGGAGATAATAAAGGTATTATATGTAGAATGTAAAATAGATTTTACATTTTACTACAGGACTACAAACCTATAGGGGGTGCGATGGTTAAATTGTGGCCATTTTATATTTTAAAATTTCACTCATGTGTATTTTTGATTTTGTCAACTGCACAGTATAGTAAGGTCAGTTGGGCGCCGTCTGTGAGGAAAAAGTGCACCATGATGCAATTCACTCCGCCAGATATTTGGAAACTGCTTGGCATTCACGCCGGAAACTGCAATACATACATTACAGAATATTTGAGGATTCCGAAAGAGTTGCATGAGTCTAATGGTGATTACGAATGTACAGCAGCTCAGAAAACTCACTCTTATCGTTCCGATAAGAAAAGAACTCCCGAATTTGTTGTTGAGGGCCTCAGTCTCAGAGGACTACATCAAGTGACTTGAGAAGCTAGTGCTGCCCTGGGTCGATAGTGTGGCTACTGGAAGACCCTCTGTCAGGACTCCGCAATATGCCACACAAGTAGGAGAACCCAGTTCTGACTGTCATACAATTTCTGAGACCACACCCTTTACGTCTTGTCACTTAACTCCCCACACTTCAACCCCCTTAATTATTATTTGTGCAGCGTAGTTGAGCGAGAGAAAAATCAGAACTCATAGTAAGATCAATGATGAACTGAAGGTAACCATTATGGCAGCATTCACCAGCTTAAACAAGGAGACTGTTCAGAAGCGATGCAGGAGATGCCGAAGTCTTCTGTTGGCTGTGGTTGAAGCCAGTGTCGATTTTATTGAATAAATTCACTCTTTAATATTTCAAGATTTTTTTGTACAATTTTGGTAAATATATTTGTTAAAATAAGATGTCGGCGTTATTTTCATTTTTGCTTCATTTAGATAACAATTTATTCATCGCAATCTGTATATGTGTATAATTTAAATATATATGTGTATAATATATATGTGTATAATATATATGTGTATAATATATATGTATAATGTATATGGTTATAAAAGAAATTGCTTTGCAAGTAATTTTACTACAGAAATTATGAATATGAGTTTGCCAGTGTGAATTAATGTAACGGTTACAACCAGTAAACCCGATGAAATAAAAGTCAAGTTTCTTTCAAATCTCGTGAATATCTGAAACTTTTTGAAACATATGAGGAGGAATATCACAAAATCCTTTTGTCTGTAAGCGTGTAGATCAGAAGAAATGGTTTCTTCCTTTGGTACATGCCTTTTTATGCGTTTAACCATTCCTTTTTCCCAACTTTGAATTTGACTGACGTGTCGCTATCCACCTAAGTATATCATGTATTAAACAGAACTCGTAGAATCTTAATGCCAACAAAAACATAACATTATGTGCAGCGGTTGCATGGAAAACTGAAATTGACAGTCGGAGATGTTTGAAAAGAAAAGAAAAGAAAAAGTGAGATAATTTTTCGAGTGAACGTGACGAGGTTAAATTTATGAATGACATCCGGGTCTTATGTCTCGTTTGTTTTTTCTTCTTTTACTTATCTCTGAATACTATAGGTATACAGAAACTTGTCAAACTAATTCGTAGTTGTCACTTTTATTAAAAACTTTAGAAAGTGGCACCGGAGAATTCCTGGTCTTGGATGTTGTGATTGTATCATTCAACAGAAACGCGCGAGTTCCACATTAGCACCCAAATATACTGAGTCAGTCTGCCAACCGTCTTCCTACTATCTACTCTTGTTCAATTATTACAACATAACGTTGTAACGGTTCTGCAATCATTCCATGAGTGACATCGTGATTGCTCAACTGTTGCCTTCTGTGTGGTCTCTAGATCCCCACATAAAATAGGTATCAACAAAAAGCACAATTACTTTTTTTGTTATTTGTTTTATTAACAGTGGCAGCTTGGATTCAAAGAGGGAGTAGAAGGAATGATGTCACAGGAACGCATGTCGCACATTGGCTCAGAATCTTTCCGCGGGTGGTATTAACCGGTCGCTAACCTGGGTGTGGGAGGCATATCTACGCTTTAGAATTCTTGAGATCCTCTGTTGAATTCGCGCCGTTTCGGACTTGTATCCAAAACCCAGACAAAGGCATCGATCACTGTCAAGAATACTCCGCCCACGATGCAGTCTGGCCAATCGCTGACAATTCTGACGCTTTCTTCCGATTCTGTAACAATCCACCGTCAAGTTTTGACGAATATTCTGTATATCGGGCGCAAGACACAGGATGATTTATTTTTCGCGTGAGTAACAGCGTTTACACTTCTCAAGATATAAAAGTATCTTATAACGAAATCGTATTTTATTTTAGTCTTAGAATCAACAAGCATAGATGCGCTAATTTTAACAAATCTCTTAAATTCAATGTTTTGAATAAAGATTATTAAAACTAAACGCCCCTAATATGTTCTCTCCAGTCATAAAAGAGAGCAGTACTCCCAATGACGCTGCTTGCCTGGAACTTCTTTTGGGACTCCTCACTCCAGACCTCAGGTGTAAATCGTTAAAAATGCAGGGAAAAATAGTCGTGCTCTTGTATTACTCTAAAGAATAACTGACGTATTCTGATATGCTGTATGACCATATCAGACCAAGAAAAGGTACAATGCTTCCAGATCTGTTTTAGAGCTGCCCAGTCCTCACTTTCTATCCATGAGTGCCAAAACGTTTACAAGGCCTTGTAGATGATTAATTTTTCCATCTTACATCTTCTATTCCACAGACGAAACGCTAGTAGCTACCCGCTACTCAGTGGCTATCTTTATCTCAGAAGGATTATAGACATTGCCCGGAAAATAATCTACTCTCCTCCTTCCTTGGGGGATATTATCTAATTCATGTTTCAGAGCGTAAAACATAATGAAAGACAAGCACGCATCCCGTCTACGACTTGTTTGAACTGCTACCCCCAGGGCAACGTTTTAGTTCTATTAATTCCAGGACAAAAGACTTGAGGGGCAGCTTTTATCCTTGGACCCGGCTCCAAATGAATGCTGCTGCACGCTGATTTATTTATTCATTTATACATGTTACTGTTCTTCAGTATCTCAATATTTTTCTTTCGTTCAATTTTGCATTTTTGTCCCCCTTTTTTTTTATTGCTTTGGAACACGTTTTTACTTACTTTGGTATACGTCCATTTTTTCTTTCTCTCTTTCTTTTTTCTTTGTTTCTTTTTACCGTACATTACGTTTTCTCTGTATCCTATTTTGTTTCATTCGAAGCAGCTAACTTCTTTCTTTTGTTTATTTCCTTCTTTACGCCATTTTTTTGCGTGTAACTTTTTTTGTTAGCAATAATGTTTCTTTCCAAGTATTCTCATCTTTTTAGTTCATCATTTCCCTTTATACCTCTTTCTTTCTTTCTTTCTTTCTTTCTTTCTTTGGTAAGCATCATTTTGTTTTGCTTTATTGCTTTGGAACACGTTTTTACTTACTTTGGTATACGTCCATTTTTTCTTTCTCTCTTTCTTAATTTCTTTAGTATACCCTCTTTCTTTCTTTCTTTCTTTCTTTGGTAAGCGTCATTTTGTTTTGCTTTATTCTGTTTAGAACATGTTTTTACTTACTTTCTTTGACATACACCCTTTCTTTCTGTCTTACTTTCTTAATTTCTTTAGTATACCCTCTTCCTTCCTTCCTTCCTTCCTTCCTTCCTTCCTTTTCCTTTCTTTCTTTCTTTCTTTCTTTCTTTTTTTTTTTTTTTCTTTGTTTCTTTGTTTCTTTCTTAATTTCTTTAGTATACAATCTTTCTTTGTTTCTTTGTTTTTTTCTTTGTTTCTTTCTTTCTTTGGTAAGCATCCTTTTGTCTTGCTTTATTGCTTTGGAACACGTTTTTTCTTTCTTTTGTATACGTTCTTTCTTTTTTCTTTCTTTCTTTCTTTCTTTCTTTCTTTTGTAAGCGTCCTTTTGTTTTGCTTTATTGCTTTGGAACGCGTTTTTACTTTCTTTCTTTGGTATACGTTATTTCTTTCTTTCTTTCTTTCTTTCTTTCTTTCTTTCTTAATTTCTTTAGTATACCCTCTTTGTTTGTTTGTTTGTTTGTTTCTTTCTTTCTTTCTTTTCCACATTACTTTTTTCTTAAACATTTTTTCTTCTTTGCATCTTCCTTATTTCCATTCTTTAATTCCTTTTTGTTACATTTTCCCCGGCTATAATTCAAGATTACCAGTGGTTTATATTCGCATTCCCTTTTTTCTTTCTTTTTCTTTCTCCCTTGGTAAACGTTCCTTCTTTCTTTCTTCTTTTCTTTGTTCCTTTCATTCTTTGAAACGCGTTCTTTCTTTCTTTCTTTCTTTCTTTCTTTCTTTCTTTCTTTCTTTCTTTCTTTTGTATATGGTCTTTCTTTCTTTCTCACATTACTTTTTTCACTTCCAACATTTTTCTTCTTTGTATCATACTCATTTCGCTTCTTTACTTCCTTTTTATCACAATTCCCTCGGGTAACGTTTATGATGGCCAGTGGTTTGTCTTATCATTTCATTTCGTGTACATTTAGTTCATCTTTTGTTCTTTCTTTTTTCTTTTTTTCTTTCTTTCTTTCTTTTTTTCTTTGCAATACACGTTTAAATCAACTCGCCCTTCATTCTCTCCCTTGCACATCTTAAACAGTCATCATCATCAGATACGATTTAATTCGATACTCTCTGTCCCTTAAGATATTTTTAACAAGTGGTTTGTGTATCCCAGGCAACTTAATTGGAAATTTCAGAGCCTTTAATTCACCTCTCACAATCACGTAAATTGAGTAATTAATCTCCTATAATTTGCGACCGACCATCTACATGGTCTATGTGTCACTGATAATTAATGGGATTAACAAAAATATAATAAAAAAAAAACGAGGAAACACTCATCCGGAAACAGAAAGACAGTAAAAAAAAAAAAAAAGAGAAGTGTTTTATTTCAAGCTTGGAATAAACTTGATTCTTCTATTACTGTGAGACTGTCGTGTTTTCAACTTCAATAGTATCCTGAAATCGGAAATATTATCCCCCATCTGTCATTGTCTGAATAATGTATGAGATTCGAGCGCCAACAAATGAACAATACACACACACACATATACATATATATATATATATGTATATATATATAGGAGTTTTAGTGAAAGATAGTTTTGCAGCATCAATGGTTCAACACAAAAATTAACACTGCTTCCCGTTCGGACTTACTCATCCCCAGCCTAGCAACCGTTTTCAAACGCTCAACAACTGATTAAAAATGGCGTCGTCTTTACTGGTGGCTTTTAGCTGATTCTTTCATATTCTCCTTTCTCTGAGATCAGCCATCAAAGTACACAAAAGTTGATTCAAGGTTCTTTTGACGGATGAAATCATAGAGCATTAATTATCAAATTCAACGATCAGTAATTAATAAACAATAAAATGGGGTTGTTATCCCCAAAGCGGTTGTCAAATATTTTATTTTTCCTCTTCCAGTAAATTAAAAATAAATGTACTTGATGATTAAAAACTCAATAATTTTGATAGCTGATAATACGAGTAGTCTCCCTTATCTGCAGAACATCAGTTTGAAAACCACGGATGAATGAATGAAACCGCGGATAGTACCGAACTCTAAGGATGCATACAGTTTTTTTTGCCACACACAAACACACACACACGAGCACGCGCATATAAAATAAAATAAAACTTCTTGTTGTGCATTCGACTCAAGCTTCTAGCGCTTCTCAGGCTGTGAATGAATTATATAGTTTCTATTCTTAAAAAACTTAAAAAATATTACAGCCATTAAACAACATATTTCACTGTTGGTTATGCAAAGGGATACAGTTTTTTAATCCTTTCATTTTGAAAATGACATCCTTCAAAAGCCCGCCTCTATTAAAAAAAATAATCTGGGATCAAAACACTATGAAAGTCTAAAAATAGGTTTTAGTACCAGAAATACTTTTGTAAATAAATTATTACCAGCAATAAATTTTGAAAAAAAAAAAATTGCCAGGAATATATATATATATATATATATATATATATATATATATATATATATATATATATATATATATGTGTGTGTGTGTGTGTGTGAAAAGTGTATATAAATATAAATAAATATATATATGTATAATTATTTATATAGTGACGATCGCTAAAGCGTGAAACCCAGGGTCACAAACTCACATCTATCCAACCAAATATATATATATATATATATATATATATATATATATATATATATATATATATATATATATATATATATATATATATATATATATATATATATATATATATATAAACTGTTTTAGATGATTTCTAATGTTTTCCATCACCCGAGAGTTCAAACGTTTCGGAGTTTTCCATGTGGCTTTAGACGCGGAAGCGGTGGCCCTGAATTGTCCAGCTTATGGCAGTATTGATTTTCCTATCCGGAAAAGCATCATTCTTACTTAACATGAAAAGAGCAGAAAAAGCTCCGTGCTTCAAATGCAGATTGATCAGTCTTTAAAAACTTTTCAATGGGAAACGCACGGTATGTACCAGTTCAAGCCACGATGAAAACTGATGGTATCTGGAAAAATGGTAAGACATTCGCTAGACGAAGGCGCCATTGCCACTTATCTTCGTTCACTCGCACTGTATTATAACATATAAAATATTCTTTCTGTCATGCTACACAAGTTTTGCTAAATATATAAATGCTAATTGACGAAAAAAATTTAATGTCAAATTCCATGACATGGTAGCTACTGATTTTATTTTAATTGTATGGAATGCAGAGTTTCCCTTCCTCTAGAATGACTACCGCCCAAAAATGGAACCGTCCTGGGTATGACGATAAACTACATTCGCGTCCTGGGAAAAACGATAAACTACACCCAACAGCAAAGCCTCTGATCAGGTTTTGAGGATTGTGGAACCACCTCTTTATTGCTGGTGTTCCCAGGTCCACCCTGACCAGGGGCGGTAGCACCTGTTAGGGTCCCAGCTATGGGTAAATATTTGATCCCCAAACAGGTCAAAAAACTATGCAAATGTAAAAATATGTTTTAATACCAGCAATACATTTTTGAAAAGGTTATAACCAGCAATTAATTTTGGAAAAAAAAATATTACGAGCAAATCATTAAAAAAAATATACTATCAGCAATATATTTTTGAAAAAAAAAAGATATAACAGCAATAAAAATCTTGTTGACATTAAATGACCCATAGAGGTTGATAGGTCGTAAAACAAACCAAACCAAACCAAACGATTTTCTCTAAAATTTCGTCGTTGCTCACATGTTCGGTCTCTGGTATCTTCAGTATCTTTCTGTAGAACCACAGATTCTGTTTCTTAATCCACTGATGCAAAAATTAAACTGGGATCAAAACACTATACCAGAAATACTTACCAGCAATAATTACCAGCAATAAATTTTGAAAAAAAAAAAATACATTTTTTGAATATATATATATATATATATATATATATATATATATATATATATATATATATATATATATATATATACATTACCAGCAATAAAAAATTTTGTCGGTATTAAATAACTCATTGAGGTTCATATGCCGTACGACAAACTAAACCAAACCAAAGATTTAATATCGAGGCAACGCTGCAATTTAACCTATTGCTGTGGGGAGAAGAGGATTCAAACCCTTTCCTATTGACTGAAATGTGCACGAAACAGACTTCCTAGGAAAGATAGTGGAATAGCTTTCGGTTGTTTTCTACGCGACTTTGAATTCAGACATATTTCCCTAGATTGGCTGCCAATCAAGGCTAGAGAGCTTTCTCTACATTAATATCTAAAGAAACAGATGGGGAATATGGTGTAAGTGATAGATTCATAAGATGCCGGAATTTGCACTTGCTGAGATGTATCACCTGCACAAATAGAGGTATTTCTTTTTATTATAACATAGAAGGTTACGGCTCTCCGCTACGAATATGCTATGCTCCCTTTGTTAATATTGAAGTGTGGTCTATCGTTACGTTTCGCACGCTTTTGAATTCAGAGTTGCTCGTCCCCTAAACTGGATCCTAATCAAATCTAATGAGCATCCATCCTACCTTGCTATTTAATCCATAACTAGGGGAGTGAAGATGAGATGGACTCGTACTTTTCTCAACTACATCTAACGACACTCATGTTCTAAAAATCTTATCACTTAACATTTTTTAGAATATATTTTTATAATTATTCTATTTTATTACTAACAACAACAACAACAACAACCAATTTGTTTCTTTGTTTGCTTAGCGGCCTACACTAACAATACAGAAAATTCCTAATGCTTTCAAGAAAATTAATTTTCTTGGGAAGATTACTAATTTCCTTTATAAAAATGTATTGCTGGTATTTTTTTCAAAAATGTATTGCTGGCAAATTGTATTTATTATGAGAGTGCTTTGATGGTATTTTCACTATAAAAATGTATTTTTTATAATTTCATATTGTTTTGACACAAGTTTAGTGGTGAACTATTTGCCCATAGCTGGGACCCTAACAGGTGCTACCACCCCGGGTCAGGGTGGACCTGTGAACAACAGCAAGTAGGAGGTAGTTCCACGCTCCTCAAAACTTCCAAACTCCCGCCGGATGTAGTTTATCGTCATACACTGAATAACTAATAATAATATAGAACACTTATAACAATATATATATGTAAGCAAATATATGGATATAAATCCGACATGTTAAAATTTTTGTTTGTTTTTTCTGTATTTTTCTTCATATATATATATACATATTTAAGCATTTCAGCCCAAACAAGGCTGGAAGCCACTAGCACGCAAGGGGTTACAAAGGATTTGGAGCAAGAGCAGCTAGGAGTGATAGAGGAAAGGATGAGGAGAAGGATAGTGAATAGATAAAGACAACTGGAGATATCGATTGACATTACATTTGAATACTTGAAGATAATATCTATCAGGGAAACAGGAAAAGGGAAAACGAGAGGTGCGAGATATGAAGCTATTGGAGTAGAAGAGACGGCTACATTTAATAGTTTCAACAGTGAGAAGGTGAGAGCGGGATGCCAGCTTCGTAGGACGCTTGAATTCATGCTGTCATGTATCTTTCAATACATGATTGACGAGGCATATTTTCCCGCAATAAGTTGCCATATCTTTCTGCGGTAGACCAGTTGCCATCAAAGGCTATAGAAACCGGTCTGTCTTGCGACTTACCCATAGCTGGTGGGGGAGAAGAGGATTCATACCTTTTCCAAGGGTATTAGTACGTAAGTGAATGTAATGTATTCGACTGGAATACGAACTCGGCTCTCCGATTTCACAGTACGAGCCACTATCAATTACTCCACCGTATCTTCTCTTTAATTAGTTTTATATCAATCAATTTCAGAAGTTAACTTAAAACATTCCATATCCATCATCATGAACATGAAAAAGGAAGAGATGCGTTTACCTATTTGCATGTGCTCAAGCTTGTTCTTAATGCTTCTCAAACTGCTGCCAACATCAACGTAGCATAGATCCACTTGTGATCGGACAATACGCTGCTGGTTTCCGAAGTTCCGCAGTGGGTAACAAGTCTTGAAAATCAAGGTGACGTCCATCTGCAATTTACAAGCAATATTTGAAAACACGATTCGAATAAAACGCATATCAATGTATC